ACCTACTAGCGATGGCCTCCAACCTAATTGTGATGGCCTCCAACCTACTAGCGATGACCTCAAACTAATAGTGATGGCCTCCAACCTAATAGTGATGACCTACAACCTAAAAGCGATGGCCTCCAACCTAATAGTGAAGGCCATGATGGCCTCCAACGTAATAGCGATGGCATCCAACCTAATAGTGATGGCCTCCAACCTACTAGCGATGGCCTCCAACCTAATTGTGATGATTTCCAACCTACTAGCGATGGCCTCCAACCTAATCGCGAAAGCTAGCTGTAGCTAGCTGGAGTCTGTCTTGCTTTAGCAAGGAGGGTGGGAGCCGAGGACCTGAGTGCAGATACCTGATTTATCAGGCTTTAACCCCCCCCCCCCGCGGGTTCAACTCCACCCTTCTCCTCAGTACCTGCTGCTGCTTGGTCTCTTGCTGCTTGCATGCTTGGTGCTGCTGATTGCCTTTGGCTGCTTGCTGGTTGCTGCTGACGTGTTGGGGTATGAGCGAAGAGTTCGGTGGGGGAAGCGGGTGATGAAGAGTTTGGTGATGTTTGGTGGAAGCATGGCAGTAGTTGAGTTTTCCCTTTGTGCATCCTAAATTAACTATATTATTGTCACGCTGCCCCAGCTCGTGTCATGGTACGGTTGATGCCATTCATGCGGTTCAGGGTTGCTGCACTTGTTGCAACGCAACGAATAGACACTCTCAGGTGAGGCGTGGTTTGGTTTTCTTGAGGTGACACTTGGTCAGGAATCGAGGTGCGCCTCGCAACTTCGGTGACCCTGGCGGGGTGCTTCGCCGCATCCTTGCATGCTCAAGGGGGGGCCATCCTGGTGGTCACGATGCCCGTTCTTGATTTTTTTGGAATTATGCATCGCGCGTGAGCAATGTTTTGCCTAAGCCATCTAGCACACGGAGCCGCAAAGTCACTACAAGCGAGTGCACGCATGACATTTCCAGTTTGCTGCTGTTTGCTGCTGCTTGCTTGCTGCTGCTTGCTGTTTGCTGCTTGCTGCTGCTTGCTTGCTGCTGCTTGCTGTTTGCTGCTTGCTGCTGCTTGCTGTTTGCTGTTTGCCGCTGTTTGCTGCTGCTGCTGCTGCTGCTGCTGCTTGGTAGCTGCTGCTGCTTGGCTGCTGCTGCTGCTGCTGCTTGGCTGCTGCTGCTGCTGCTGCTGCTTGGCTGCTGCTGCTGCTGCTGCTGCTTGGCTGCTGCTGCTGCTGCTTGGTTGCTGCTGCTGCTGCTGCTGCTGCTTGGTTGCTGCTGCTGCTGCTGCTTGGTTGCTGCTGCTTGGTTGCTGCTGCTTGGCTGCTGCTGCTGCTGCTGCTTGCTTGCTTGCTGCTGCTTGCTTGCTTGCTGCTGCTGCTGCTTGGCTGCTGCTGCTGCTTGGCTGCTGCTGCTGCTGCTTGGCTGCTGCTGCTGCTGCTTGGCTGCTGCTGCTGCTGCTTGGTTGCTGCTGCTGCTGCTGCTTGGTTGCTGCTGCTGCTGCTGCTGCTGCTGCTTGGTTGCTGCTGCTGCTTGGTTGCTGCTGCTGCTTGGTTGCTGCTGCTTGGTTGCTGCTGCTTGGTTGCTGCTGCTGCTGCTTGGTTGCTGCTGCTGCTTGGTTGCTGCTGCTGCTGCTGGTTGTTGCTGCTGCTGCTGCTGCTTTGCTGCTGCTGCTGCTGCTG